GAAGAGAGGGAAGGAAGGGAGGAGGGAGGAAGGAAGGGAGGGAGGGACGAGCAGCTCCCATTTCTGGAGCCTTAAGGTCTGCAGAGCACTTCTCGACACACACTCTGGATTTAATCGGATCCCCACCATCATGACATAAAAGAGATGGCTCCCTCCCACCTTTGACCAGGGGAGGGAACAGAGGTCAGAGGGTGCCCCGCCATCTAAGTATTGTGGTAGGCTCGGGCTCAGGTCTCCTCTGATGCCTAGCCCAGCCCCTCATCTTCACGGGGCACCCCTCTGTTCTCAGCCCAGCGCTCCCCAGCTTTGGCTCCAACCTCACGGCCCCCCAGCAGCAGCCAGGCTCCCATGGCCACAGAATTTCAGCCTCTCAGGGCTGATAAACTGCCTGCAGGCCAGCAGAGCCTCCCAGGTAAGCAGTGCGCCCAGGGTCCCCCAGGCAGTGAGGGGCTGCTTTCAGGGCCACTGCAGAGCAGCCTGGCTGGGGGTGCCCGGAAGAGCTTTCCCTCAGAAAGAGCAGTCAATCCTGCTCTCTCTCTGACCAGGCTCTTAATTGCCATACTGTTTCCACTTGGAAATGTTGATGTAAATCAGCTCATCGAGCAGTCCTGCCTCCCAGCCCCGTTAGACAAGAAGCCCTGGCCGCCCACCACCAGCACCGTCCTGGACCTCTGCCCGGCCCTTTGCCTCTTGCTGGAGGGGAAGCATGAGGGGCCTCTGGAGGAAGGAGGCCGGCTCGGGCCCGGGCGAGGGCAGAATCCGAGGCAGGACAGGACGCCGCCAGGTTACCCACCTTTCCGATCTCACTCTGGAGTTTGTACTGGTTTAGCTGGACGCAGTCCTATGGGCGAGAGACAAAAGCAAAGAGTCAGGGTGGGGTCTGTCCAGCCTTGTGCCACCCTGCCCAGGCTGGGAGCACCTGGAAACCCGTGGGCTGCCCCAAGAGGCTCCAAGGTCTGGGAGCAGGACGACCATCTCAGCCTTGGGGGAAGGCTCACTTGGCTAGGGCCAGGGTGGGCAGGGGGCAGCGTACTGGAGTGCCAGGCCTCCCGGGCAGATGTTGCCAAAGGACACAGCTTCTCTTGCCCCAGCTGGCCATCTGGGTGGTCAAGGACTAGCCAGACCGGCACAGGCACAGCCTTGCCCCCCAGACTCTAGTGTGTCTGTCTTGGCAGCAGTCCCAGGAATTGGTCAGGTGGCAGAAAGCACCAGCAATGCCAAATATCAGCAGCTGTCTGGAAATGGGCTGCTAGGAGGAGGTCACCGAGAGCATTCATTACAAGCGTCTGGTCCTCGGTCAGTACAACCTGGGTTCAAGCCCAGCTTCAGATACGCCTACAGTCTCGCCTGCAAAATCAGGGTCATGAGAGCCCCTCCCTCCCGGGGCTGTGGTGATATCATCTAAAGGGTTAGGGGCTTTGCAAAGCCCCTCCAGTGCTTCAGAAATGCTAGCCAGGATTATAGTTGTTCTGACTGAGGGCAGGGCACCATTTTTGTGCCCAGGGACTGGCGTGGCCACCAGGTGCTTCGTCAATGGGGGCCTCATCAGTGGGGGCCCCACCAATGGGGATTCATCAATGGAGTGTGTACCCAGATCTCCTGGCTCATCAACCTGGCCCCGGAATCGGCCTGGTCTATTGAGACCTTGTGGCTTTCGAACAACTCTGATTCTGCAAAAATCCCAGTATGCCTGTGCAGCACATGGGAGACTGGGGAAGTGAAGACAGCATCTCCCTCTGACAAACGGGGGCGGCTGCTGGCTAGGACCTGCGGGGGCTCATAATGCGTCTTTGAGCCCCAGCACCTCCCTCCCAAGGGCCAGAAGAAGAAGCACCAGGCTCCCTGAGCCAACCCCAAGGGTCAGGAGCCTGAGTTAAGTTTTTGGCTCTGCAGACCTCCTGTGTGGGCTGCGCTCTGACTTTCCCTGTCGAGAGAGCCATGAGGCCCCCCTCTGTCTGGGCTTGGGTGGGCTGTGTCAGAATCGATGGGGCTTGTCAGAGAAAGGGTGGGCAAAGTTGTGTTGTGAAACTCCATAAGGTCTCAGGTCACGGGGCTAGAGTGGAGCCATACTGGACAGCGGCCTTGGCATTCCTGGGGCAGCCATCACCTCCTCTTCCAAACCATCTCCCCGGCCCTCGTGCAAACTGGCCCTGAGGGGAAGGGTGTAGGAGCGGGGTGGTGCCCAATAAGGGGCTGGGACCAAGTGCCCTCTGGCATCTGTGGCCCCTTTCCTTGGCATTGGCCACGACCCCCACTGCTGTCCCCAGGCTGGGTGCCCACATGCTGTGGGCCTGTGGCCTCACCCACCTCCACATCTGAGATGGATACTCGGTTGGATTCGATGGTGGGCCGGCGCACAATGCGGGGTGAGATGTGGTTGGCAGGCCCTGTGGCATAGGGGCCACTCACAGAGGGGCTGGCAGCAGACAGACAGCTTCTGCTTGGTTTTTCCTGGAGAGAGAGCTTCCTGTTGGACAGGGAAGGCCGGGCAGGGACGTTCGTAGGGTTCTTCTGGGAATGGGCCTCTCTTGTGGTCAGGGAGGGGGCCGATGGGATTCTCTCTCTGGCTTCAGGGGGGCCGCTGCTCATCGGGAAGGCTCGGCTGTGGCCGTCCCCAGAGAAGACCGCACAGTCGTCCCCCTCGCTCGTTCCCCCCAGCTCAGCCACATCGATGGCAGCGACTCTCTCTGCCAGTTCTGTGCAGGGGTCTTGGCAGCACAAGGTCGGGGCTCCCTCCATGGTGGGGACGAAGGCCAGGTTCATGCACTGACGTGGCCCGGGCCTCGGTCCAGCAGGAACAGCCAGCCGCCCTGGGAAGAGAAGATATGGAGAGGCGATGAACATGGCAGCACGGGCCCCAGGCTTCGGGGCCTGAAGGGCCTGAGGATTTGAGCCCAGCTCCTCAGACTCCAAATGCAGCACTCTTTTTTTTTTTTTTTTTTTTGGTGGGGAATCGGGGTTAAGTGACTTGCCCAGGGTCACACAGCTAGTAAGTGTCAAGTGTCTGAGGCCAGATTTGAACTCAGGTCCTCCTGACTCCAAGGCTGGAGCTTTATCCACTAAGCCACCTAGCTGCCCCAGCACTTTTCTTTTGTTACTGCCGTACCATGACAGTACAGCTCCTTACTCCCTATGTGGCCTTGAACAAGTCCTTTGCCCCCTCTGGGCCTCATCTTCCTCGTCTGCAAAACCGATTCTTGGTCAAAGTGAGCCCTGGGATCCTTCCTGTCACAGTGCCACCTTCCAGTGTCATAGTGGTTCTGAGGCTGCGGCAGCCTGCCCCGGTCTGGAGGGCGGCCCACACACCTCAGCTCGAGGGGAAAGGGCCTGAGCGGAGCTGCCGGAAAGGATACCAGGCGGTAGAAGAAGGGGATGCTGCAGAAGCCGGCCGGCAGCTGGCCGCCCACGTCAGCGTGGTTTGGGAGGGCGCTCAGCCGCCTACCGGCCCCTTCTGGAGGCGAGGCACAGGCCAGCCCGCAACCGTGGGAGCTCAAAACTTCCTGCTAAGTTCTCTCCCCTGCCTGACTCTGCAGTGAATGTCTCCAGAGAACTACGGCTCACCTGGACGCAGACCCAGGCCTACCCTGTCTCACCAAGTTGTAGTTAATTTTTTTAAATTTTAATTATTTTTAGTTTTCAACAATCACTTCCATACACTTTTGAATTTTATATTTTTCTCCCCCTCCCTCCCCAAGACAGCGCACAATCTGATATAGGCTTTACATATACATTCCTATTAAGCATATTTTCACATTAGTCATGTTGTAAGCAAGAACTAGAACCAATGGGACGAACCACCAGAAAGAGGAAACAAAACAAAACAGAAGAAAAAAAAAGAGCAAGTAGTCTGCTTCAATCTGCATTCAGACTCCATAGTTCTTTCTCTGGATGTGGAAGGCATGTTCCCTCATGAGACCTTTGGAGATGTCTTAGATCACCAAGTTGTACTTAAGAAAGCTCGCTATGGTGTAGCATCGTCTGAGGGGGAGGAGGCAGGAGGCGCTGAGCCCCTGGTGCTTCAAGCAGGCAGAGCCTTCAAAGGGCACTGGGTCCAGCGCGACGCACGTCCCACCAAGCGACCTTGCTACAGCACATCTGAAAAGTGGGTGGCCGGTGTCTGCTCGAAGGCCTCTCTACCTCCCCAGGCAGCCTACCCCACTTAGGGCTAAACTGTGTTTGCACCTGTAGATACACGCCTGACCTAAGGTGAGCTCTGAACACAGGAACAATCTTCCCTCGTCTTTGCATCTCTGGGCCCTAGTACAGAGCTGGAGCACACAGTGGGAGCTTGCCTGACTCATCTTCGTATCTCCGGGCCCTAGTACAGAGCTGGAGCACACAGTGGGAGCTTGCCTGACTCATCTTCGTATCTCCAGGCCCTAGTACAGAGCTGGGGCACATAGTAGGAGCTTGCTGACTGAGTGATCGCCCTAACCTGTTAGAGAATCTTTACTGTTATTCATCCTTTTGGTATTTCTCTTATTATCATTATCAACTCTTTATCATTACTCCTCCTCATTCCTAGGAGGTAGGAAGGACCGGTAGGAAAGTTATGCTCATTTTTACATATGGTAAAAACTGAGACCCAGAGCAAGCAAACTAAGGCCTGTCCCCAAGCTTGTGCCAGGCAATCGAACACGTGCCCTAGATTTTAGGGGAGAGGATGTGAAGGATTGAAAAGAAAGGAGAGGTCAAACCAACCAATCAATGCCCACGTATGAGGTGTTCACTCTGTGTTAGGCACCGTGGTTACAAAAATGAACACTGCCTTCAAGGAGCTTATATTCTAAAAGGAGCCCAACATGGCAGCTTGCACGCTAGTGGGAGGGGCTGCCTGGCTCAGACACGGCGGGAATGGTGCGGTGGACAGGTCTGGGAGCGAAGGGGGCTCTTACCAAGCTGGAGTGAGTCCCTAGAAAGCAAAGAATGTCCCCGTCCAAGTCTGATCTGTCCTTGGAGCCTGTCAGCTCCCTGATGGCACAGATGTGGCCTGTCTCTGACCTGGCCAAGGGCCCATCGGGCACCTTGTGGACCCACAGGGGACCGACAAGACAGGAGGAGACTGGCTGGGTAGAGTCATCAAGGAAACTGAGTGCTAGGGACATGACCAAGGTCACACAGTCAAACGCATAAGAAGGGTCCCTGGCGTTTGCACTGAGGTTGCCAAGGATGATGGCCAGAAGGGGGAGGGGAGACACAGGTCTATTCGTCTTCGTCCCTCCCATCCCCCATCCCCCACAGTCCTTCATAAAGTGGCTCAAACGCAAAAGGACTAAATATTTGTTGACTCAACTGCTGTTGAATGGACCTCTAATGCCATCCCTGTCCTTCCCCATCACCTTCAGGATAAAGTCTAAACCTCTCATCCTGGCATTCAAGGCCTTCCTGGATAGACTCATCCTGGACTACTCCTAAGGGCAAAACTGGGGCGAATGGGGGAGATTCCGAGATCCCAGTTTTGGCTGGAAAGGAGGAGGGCCTGTCTTGTCAGCGCACAGGCAGGAGGCTGACTGATGGAGACACGCGCTCCCAGCAAGTGCTGAGCCTTATTAGGGCTGTGAGAGGGACTCCCCCTTGGGATAGGAGCCAAGCTCTCTCATTTCCAAGCTCCTTCCAACCCCGGACTGCTGTGATCCATCCTCCCCCTGACTCAGCCTCCAGCCACACTGGGCGGCTCACAGCTCCCTGAGTATGCCCTGTGGTTTTCTGCCTGGGTGTCTTTGCCCGTGCAGTCCCCGCTCCCCTGAATGCCCGTGCAATCCCACCTTCACTCCCAGGCAAGCCTGAAGCCCTCCGGCCTCGTCACCTGGGCTGCCCAATTCTGGGGGACAGGTTCTGGGCCGGCCCCCCTCCAGCCTGGAAGCCCAGAAACCAGACAGCCTTCATCTGGGTAAGTGGAGGACCCTTGAGGGGAGAGCCCACAGCCCGTGTGAAAACCCAGCCTGGAGAAGGCTGGGGCTCTGGCCACTGCCCAGTCACTTTCTCCAACTGCCTCGGCTCCGAAAGGCCCAGTCATCTCAGCAAGGACTCACTGAGCGCTCCCAGGTGAAGGGCCTGACAAATCAGCAGGACAGTCCAGTGTAATGGGCTGGAGGACAAACACAGGCAGAGGGAGAATGGGCGGAGGGTAAGGCAGGGGTTGGAATCCGGCCCTAAGATAGGCATAGGAGGTGGAAGGGAGCTCACTCACACACCGAAGGAATCCCCTCAACGACCCCACAAATGGTGGTCCAGGCTCTGCTTGAAGACCCTCAAATAGGGCAAGCCCACCAGCTCGAGGCTGCCCATTGCCCTGGGGATGCCCCTCTCTGGCTGGCAGCCAGCTTCCCTGACTGGGGGTCTCCCTGCAGCTTCTCCCCTTTGCTGCCCTTGGTGGAGGCCCCTGGGGCTGAGCAGAACAAGCCTCATCCCTGCTCCACTTGGACCAGCCCTCAGGGCCCCTGGGAGCTTCCTCTTCTGCAGGCCCTTCCTATGCCACAGATTCTAGGATCTTGGCCCTCCTGGCCACCCTCCTCTCCAGCTTGTTCGTGGCCTTCCTAAAATGGTGCCCAGTACTCAAGGCAGGGTCTGAGAAGGGCACAGGACAGAGGAGCCGTCACCTCCGGGCCCCTTTTTGTGGCTGGGGGGCCAAGGAGGGAGGAGGAGGAGGAGGAGGAGGTTGGACATAAGCACGGAGGAAAAGAGGAGGGTCTCAGCAGACGACGAGACCAGGAGCAGCTGGTCTGGCTGCAGCCGAGAGGGCCCACGGGAGAGGAGGGGCAGACAAGCTGGCAAAGCCCCCCTGTGGAGCCACGAAGCCCCCACCGACGAGTGGGATTTCATTCTGACACAACAAGGAGCTGAGGCAGAAACTTGAGCAAGAAGCAGGACGTGGTCAGACATGCCCAGCGCCTAGCATGGCACGCACTAGGTGCTTAATAAATGCTGTGGACTCACTGAGCGCTAGGAAGGGGATTTCAGCAGTAGGTGGGGGAAGGGCTGGAGATGGAGATGCTGGAGGCAGAAGACGAGTCAGAAGGGGACAAGAGGAGAAAGCTGTAGGAGCAGCTGAAGTGGCCTCTGAGGTTACCCGTGCTTGAGGCTATGAGGCCCAGAGGTTAAGTGACTGGCCACAAAGCTAGTAAAAGGCAGAGCCAGGGTTCAGATCCCATGAGGGTGGAGCTGGCCAGCCCCCTTCCCAGAGCTCCCCAAGGCTACAAGACAGGGAGGGTGCTAGGGAGGGCTTGCTCACCCTCAGGCCACAGATGGTAAGGAGTGGACAGAGTTGAGAGATATGGCTGAGTTAGAATCCACCAAATGGGGCGACTGAGTCAATGTCGTTGGTGAGAGGGAGAAGAGCTGAAGATAACTTGGCATAAACAGACACAGAGATGCTGGAAGGAGGAGATGAAGAGTCCAGTTTGGACTCCTTGGGTCCGGTGGGACAGACTCATCCAGGAGGGAGGTTGGGGCTGGGCCTCTGGGGGCATCCACAGGAGGAAAGGTCAGGGCCCACGAGAAGGCCTGGGGAAAGCCCGCCCTGCAGCAATGGACGAGGAATCATCCAAGAAGGCTGGGAAGGGGCGGTCACAGACATAGGAGGAGAGCCCAGCACAGCAGAAGCCCAGGGAGGAGGAGGGGCCAGGCCCCAAAGGATGAGGCCCAAGAAAGGGCCCTCGCTCGGCCAGTGAGGAGGCTGCTGATGCCCCCTTAGCATGCAGAGGCGTGGGAGCAGCGGCCAGAGAGCCTCCGAGGAGAACTTGGAGCAAAGGGCTTTGAGGCCAGAGCAGGCGTGGGCCATCCCCTTTCCCCCATAGCCCCCATCCCTGTTCTGATGCTGGCACACCCATCCCCCTGCACTCTGGGGGCCCACCCCCACCATAGTCATTCTCCAAGGACCCACTGAGGACCGCAGGACCACAGGCGTCAAAGTCAGCAGGGGGCCTCAGAGGCCATCCAAACCATCCTTCCATATGACGGAGGAGGGGACTGAGCCCAGAGATAGAAGGGCCAAACAGGCAGTGAGGGGGTCCCTCCAGTGACAGGGAACTCACTACCTTATAAAGCAGCCATTCTCCCATTAGGTTGATGCCCTGTGTCCTCTGCCCCCTCGGCTCTTGGCCTGCTCCCTCTTCTGTGGGACGACATCCTGATCCCCTGGAGCCCCACCCTTCCCTCTGCTTTACCGCATGGGGGAGGTGGCTGGAGGCAGCCTGCAGTCCTTGACCAACGCCTGGATCCCAGGAGCACAACACACCGCTGTCATGGCAACCCCTCTCTAGCTTAGGCAGGAACATAAACACGGCTGGCTCTCCCTCCCACAAATGCCAACCGCCCCACCCCGCCCCACCACTCCTTCCCTTACTAGCTCTGAAGGCTCATCTGGGGAGTGGAAGGGAGCTTGGTGGAAGGCCCCACCGTCAGTGCAGTGCCTCCTGGGGCAGAGAAGGTGAGGGGTCACAGGCTCTGGTCTTGAGAGACACCTCAGGGGCCATCTACACTACATGCCTGTCCTCCCCCCATTTTACACATGAAAAAACTGAGGCCGGGTCACCTAGCTAACCACTAAGAGCCGAGCCAGGATTCAAACCCAGGTCCGGTACAGTTGGTCAGTAGGCTCCTGGCTCTCCAGCCAAGAGCCCTTAGAGCCCACCCACCACAGCACATGTCTAAGGGTTGGGCCAGACCATGCAGGTCTTGGGGCACCAGCCGGAGGCAGTGGACACAATCTGATGGTGAGGTGATCGGGGTTAAGTGACTTGCCGAGGGTCACACAACTAGTGTTAAATGTCTTGAGGCTGGATTTGAACTCAGGTCCTCTTGACCCCAAGGCCAGAGCTCTATTCACTGAACCACCTAGTCGCCCTCAGAGAATACAAGCCAGGACCTCAGAGGTCTGGTTCAGCTTCCTACCAAAACAGAAATGCTCTCGACAACATCCCTGGTAAAAGGACGCCATACTTCTGCTGAATACCTCCAGAAACAGGGAACTCACTACCTTATCCAGCAGGCCATTAGACTGATTCCCTATGTCTTCTGCCTCTGAAGTCGGTATCTGCTCCCTCTCCCATCCCCCTGCTTTCACATGCTGGCCCCCCACCCCGAGGAAACGGAGGGTCCAGAGGATCAAAGCAGAGGGGCTGGGCTTTTAGGGCTTTGCCCAGAGCACCCGCTGGTGCCTCCATCACGTGTCTTCCCAGGACGTCTTGGGCTCTCCCTACGTGGTGAGTCAGCATGGGAAGGTTTCACTTTGGGAAAAATGAATAACATGGAAAAACCCTAACAGACCCAGCTGTACGAGGAGGCCGGGGAGCCAGCGTCAGCCGCCAAGCATAGGCCGGGACTTTCCCCGCCATCTGGGGACCTCGTGGGGCTGGGGCTGACAGCCATGCGCTCAGAGCAGACAGGCGTGAGGGGGAGCCTTTCAGCTCTGCAGGGCGTGAATTGGACTTTCCCGGGAATCCGAATGCAATCTGATTGATTGAGTTCAGAAAGAAAACCGGGCTCAGCTCTGCCAATGGCGAAGAAAATGGACACCTTGGGCTGCCGCGACCCTCCGATCTCCGTCCTTAAGAACAAGACTAACCTCCCCAAGTGAAAAGCATCAAAGCGGAGGCATTGGCCGGGGAGACGGGGACCTTGTGGGTGGAGCTGCAGGCTGAGCACAGTGTCCCCACCCCCGAGCCAGCCATCGGCCCCACCAAAGCATCCCCCAGGCCCTTCGGGGGAGCGCCCATCGACTAGGGGTGGCCGACGTAACGGCACCTTGCGTTGTAAGAAATGCGAAATGTCAGCAATCTGGAGAAACGTGGCGAGGTTCCTACGAGATGATACAGAGCAGAATGCACAGAACCAGCATCAGTGGAGAGCCCGAGATACTGAAAACAAAGGACACCCCGGCAAAGCAAGCCTCCAGCCTCACTGCAGAGGTGAGGGGCTGCTGGGACACAACACCGCATGCACTGCCAGACGCTCTCACTCTATTGAGTCCTCTGGGTTAAATGTAATCACAAGACAGCGGTCCTTCTGCGGGGTGTGTGTGTGGGGAGGGTTGAAATGGCCCTGGTACAAAGATAAAAGGCATCAGTAGGATGAGGGCACCCCAGCGGGGCTCCAGGTGCGCCTGGGATGCTGCGACCTGGCTCTCGCCCACTCTGCCCTCCCCCCGGTGCCCGTCCAGCCAGGGCATCCTGCTCTGGCCTCACCTCAGCCTAGCAGGGCTCCTCCCCAAGTGCGGGTGATGCCAGGGAGGGGATTTCCAGGTATCTTGGCAAGCCCTGGCTGGGTTTCTCCCCGTAATGGAATGTAATACAATACATAGAGGGAAAGTTCTGTAGCTGAACCCTGGTGCCCAGGCGCACGCACCCACCTCTGCCCCCTGCAGGAGGCTTCTCAGCTCAGGCAAGGACGGAAACCCTAGGGTTCCACTGCCGAGCATCTGCTCAAATGGAAATGTCAGCCGTTCTCGGCAGCCACAAAAGGCTGTTTCAGGTGCTTTGGCCAATTAATTCTCCTCCGTGTCAGCTTTCAGAAAGCATTCTCCTGCCTGCCCATCATTCCCAAATACTGTGATCCTTGTGAAAGGAATCAGCCAAGTACCCGACCATCCACCATTCAGGATACCCACAGTCTGGATGTGAAGAGGCCACATCCCGCTGCCCCACACTAGGCACCTTCTCCTACCGAGGCATAGAGAGGAAACCCAGGGGCGGATCAGCTCTCTCTCCCCCGCCTCCCACAGCCCCCTCGTCATACCATAGTGCCGGGGCTCTGAAGTACAGACACACACTGCCATACATGGAAACACAATCCTATGTGCAAACACCCACCTGTCTACCGCCCCCCAGGACTGGTTCTCATCAAGCATGTAGAGGACACCACTGTCACAGCCAACAGCAGGCAAGTCACAAGGGCTTTGGGGAGGGGACTGTTCCTGCCCATCTCCTGCAGTGGGAACTGGTTTGACAGTCCGGACCTTACTAAAATACTTCCTCTTCCCTGGCCCAGGTGTGGTCCCAGCTAAGCTCTTTCATCTGTCGACATCGGCTGCCGAAGAGGAGAGCCCAGAGTCTTCTGGCACCAGCTCAAACTGACTGCCGCCTGAAGATGGAGCTCAGAATGGCACCGTGATGAGTAATTGAGCCTTTGACTTTCAGAGGGGGCAGTGACTTGACATTGACCTTCAATGACCAAATCAGAGTTGCATGTAGATGATGAGCTGGGTCCAGAAGGAAGCAGCTGGAGGAGAACGGGATGGACCACAGGTGGGCAGAGGGCTTTCTTCATCTCTCTGGAGATCTCACATTTGTCCCAATCAAACTTCCTTGTTCATTTTGGAGCATTTTCCAGCTCGACAAGATATTTTGAAGTCCCTGTCACATGAACACCCGGCTTCACATTGTCTGCGAGTTCGATAAGCATAACACTTATGTCTTCATCCAGGGCCGAGGAGAGAACCCAGAGGCACTCTACTAAAGACCAGGGCCATCAACCCAGTAATTAGGACCTCCGGCCTAGACATTCAACCCCTTCCCCACTCACCCAGTGTATTATCGTCCTGTCCACACTGTCTATTGTGTCCACAAAGAATATCTGAAAGCCCATCAGATGCCTGGCCACGTACACAGGATGATGCCTGTGGCACATTCCTGCATTGGCCAGTCTGATCGGAGACGTCCTGGTCCATGAGGAGGAGCCCTGGAGAAGCACTCAGGAAGGGTGGGTGTGCTTCCCAGGGTTGTCATGTAAAAGCTGCTCCATTTTAGCTGTGCCCCTAAGCTCCTGGGGAGACTCAGTTTTCTCATCTGTAGCCCTGGCAGAGTTGTGAAGATTGAATTTCAAAGTCCGCAGAGTGATCTGCAACCTTTCAAGCATTATGTTAATATTGTGGTCTTCATTATCGGGAAGGAAACAAGGTTGGCACGCCTATTCTGGGTCACCATGTCTGTTCCTAGGTCCCACAGAACTCTGGTAATACCGTGTTCTGGAATTCTGCCGTCTCCCTCTCCCTTTTGAAAACTGGCATCTCTGATGTCCCCCTCCCAACTCTTTAGCAGGCCTCTCTCCCAACACCTGGCATAGTGCGTGGTATACAGTAGGTGCTAAATAAGTGTTTAATGACTGATTGACCAGTCGTGGTTCCTGGATCACATCAGCAGATTCCTTCCCTGATGGAGGCTGAAAGCCAACTGCGTCAGGAGATCCCATCAGTCTCACGGCAGTCTCGCTGTCTACCTCGCTAGGCGTCCCTCCCCCACGCATGTTGCCCTGGTCTTCCGCAGGCTGTACATCACCCCCGTGGCAGGGAGAGATGCTCCATCACATCTGGGCATGGTCCAACTTTCTCCTGAGCTCCCTTCTTGGTTCGGCTGCCTTGGACCGTTCTGAAATGTTTATATCATCTTTTTGTTTTCTTCTCCCTCTTTCCCAAGTCTCAGCATGTGTGCCCCAGATGCTCACTCAGCCCCAAGAGGCCAAGCGCTGTGCTGGACAGGGGCTGGAGCTTCAAAGACAAAAAAGGAAGCAGCCCCTGCCCTCACGCACTTTTGTATAGCCATCCTTTGGGATGTGTCCCTTCTACCATCATCTGTGCACATCCTTCAAGGCCGCTGTTCCGACAAGCTGCATTGCGTGGAGGCCTTCCTCTGTCCGTCCTCTCTGAGCTCATCCAGCCTCATTGCACAAACAATATTGCAGACAAACTGGGCTGGGAAGTATTCCCTGATCTTGTCTCATGCTCTTCCACCTCACACCAGGAATTCCCAAAGGCTGGGAATGCACTCCACCCTAGCATTGGCCTGTTCAGTCCAAGTGCCATCTCTTCTGCAAGGCATTCCTCCACCCACCCAGCTAAACCAGGAGGTGATAGGAAATCCCCCAATCAGGCCATGAGCTCCTTGAGAACAAATTTTCTTGTTTTTACCTTTGCATTTCTGGCATCCAGCCCAGGGCCTGCCCCAGCCAGAGTTGGACCCCAATAAAGACTTGGTTTTAAATTCTTGGGCTCAAAGATCTCTGCAGCCCTAAAATTAAAGATGCTTGCTCCTTGGAAGGAAGGCTGCGGCCAGTCTGGACAGCACAGACGTCACCTTGCTGACAAGGGTCTGTAGAGTCAAAGCTATGGTTTTTCCAGAAGTGATG